ATTACACGAATTCATCGTGCAGAATACTCGATGTCAATGTTCCCTTCACCGCCTCCTGATTCGCACCTCAAATCTAAAGCCATTGTGTAATGTATAGGAAATAATGTTCGCGCGTTCGTAGTGGAGAGTCCTTAATATGGATGGTGATATAAGAACGACTAAATAAACTACTTTCAGTGACTGGACTATCACCCTGATCTCCCAACTTTGAGCGGCACAAATTATCAAAACGGCCATTTTAAGACCCATTTTAGTGTTTTACAAATTAACACAAATAACTATTACCCAGATTTTTTTTAAACATGAATTATCAGTGGCAACCTCTGTATTCGATGGTGGTGGCTGGCTAAAGAAGTCTACGAAAAAGTTATTATAAAACTATTCTCCTATTCATATTAACAGGACTTTCCTGAAAATCTTCTCAGAGAAATACATTATACCCTTCATGCTAAAACTTCTACCCGATTCCAAAAGAATGACTTATTATTTATCTTATCCTCAACAACCGATTGAACATCTCTTCCTACTCGAATGATCAGTGACGCAACCGAAGTATCAGGAACCCCTGTGGTCCCGTTACCTGTTACACCAGCGAGGATGCGCAAATGTCTAGAGGATCACGACGTAGACTCCGGCCAAGGCCTTCGCCCTCTCGCGGTAAATGTCAGGAGAAGGCACGGTATTGTTGTGCAACACATACGTAACTGCAACACTACAATTCGCATCTAGGATGGACACCTAATCTGTGTGCACTACTGGCAGTATGATCAGTAGAAGGTTGAAGATCACTTGGTGGGGCTCAAACTGCTAATCATCAAAATCGGGTGATTTTTTGCTCAGAGTTATCGTGCCAACGGACTATATCTATATATATAATACGCTAAGCCGATTTTTGTGAACAGAACTCCTCCCTCATTTTTGGACCGATTTTTATGATTAAAGTGTCAAAATAATTGCCCTGATCCGTAGTTTTGCAAAGTCTTTTTCGTTTTTTGATATCTTTATTAGTTTGGACAAGATCATCCATCAAAGTTGGATTTTCTCCCATAAGATTAACATGGGGGAATCTAAATATTTAATTGAAAACTTTGTCTCCACTAATTTGGGAGAACGGCTGGGCGTAGAAACTGGTAGAGGTGTCCAAAGAAAGGTCATGGTCTGTAGATGAGTTATCAAAAGAAAAACGAAGTAAATTCGATTAGGTCTCTGTCCCAGAAGCCTTTAAAGATCCCTCCACAGATTTGTTTACATTTTGGTCATGAGGATAATACTTTTTAATAAAACAGCTGTTTATTTTAAAATTGTATTTTAAACAACACACATTTATTGGGAGTTACTGAATAGTCCAAAAGAAGTATTTGCAATATTATTTTCTGATTTTAAACTGGATTTTCTTCTGTATCATGCCATGTGTTGAAATATAACGTCCCATTACGAAATCAGTGGAAAATCCTTTTTTCACAGTAGACAATTATTTCTCATTGAACTATCTTATATCCAATTCACGGGTTGGTGTCTGACTTTTTCACACCTTTTCCCTATAGTTTGTCAAAATATTCTAAAAATATCATCATGGGTTCATGAGATTATTCTCATACATGCTTTCAATCGTTGGAAAAATCTTCGATGGTGTAATACAATACAAAATAATACAAGCGCAGAAGAGCACGGTGCCGATTTGAGCCGTGTCCATATTTTGTTAAATTAATAGTGGTTTACAGCAACTGGATATAACATTTTACAATATTTATGTAGAAATATGTGCATGATTTAGAAAGTCATTGAGCTGGAAAACTGCAATATACTGCAGACTTTTCAGAGAGGTTACTTTGATGTATTCATTACGCTTAGTGAAAACATAATATAGATATGAATACAAATAAGAACTTGAACTCTTAGAGAGCCTTTAAATGTTTTATTAGACTAACGAAAAGGGTTGTGCATGTTTACTAGCGCTACTCGGCAACAAAAACCATTTAATTTATCTCTAAACTATCTATCTATCTATATATTAATAGGCAAGCATGTTTCTTTAAAACCTTTTTTCTTAGCTCGTGTGCATCGTAGGGAAAATCTACGCATACCGTTAGAAAGCTATTTTCCTGTAGGTGTGCAGAATCCCTTTATAAATTTAAATAGGCTCAAAGATAAGCACAAAAAATGAGTTTAAAGATTTGAAAAAATTAACATGGATCTTATGCGTTGCCATGCTGGTGACGAAATAACAACGAAATATAAACAGGAAATCAAAACAAATGGAAGAAACTCCAATCACATGTTTTATTTACAGTGTGGGGTGAAAATAGAGAAGTGAGTACATTACATATTTTTGGTCGAGTTTCGACCACTGGACGACCTCTCGTATATTCTTAAAGTGCACTGAGCAGCCTAAAAATCTATGTAACTTACCCATATAATATGGTTACAAAATGCTCAAACTCGCATTGTGACATTTATAACTCGGCTTATATTTCTCCAACAGAAAATTCATCCGCAGTAGAATTTTATTGTGCTCTTACCGTTTCTAATAACATCCAAACACAGAAACCTTGCCTAAAATGGTACCTATGTTGACAAATTATTTACTGTGGCCTATATTACGGACCGTGGCCCACTGGTTTGGTAACATTATTGAAAATAACACGACATTTTGGCTGTAAAAAAGGCACAATGAGTAAATACTATTTAATCAGCTACTGTCACGACGGAAAGTCGTATTTATTTCAAACTAGATCACATCATACTTTATAAGATACGTTGATTCACAATGTATGCATCAATATTTACGTAACAGACAATTTACATTATTTTTTGCTTTTTGGAAATGCTTCATTACTATGTAATTTGCATTATTTTTTGCCAATGAAGCTGCACGTCATATAAATTAGGAGGCCAATAACAGTTCAAGAATAAAAGCCAACATTACTTCAAGTTTATTCCACTGCACCTAACATTCCGTAGAAAGATAATATTGACAACTTTATGTAATTGATAAGGCTGAGACAACTAACTGACATCCCCCACTTCTAGGAATTCCAGCTTGAACAGTAACCCAAAAACCAATTTCTCAAAACTTCAAAATTTTAAAAACGCAATTAATATTATTATTGTTTTTACGCTTATTAATCTTTAAACAATGCTAAATGCTCGAAATATGTATAATTTCACTCGATTTATCACAGTAAGATGAATCAGCGTAAGCCTTGAAGGTAACCGTCGATTTCGACGGGTTTCACCTAGTTTTATAATATACTAGCAGAGTACCCGTCCTTCGTAGGGGGTTGGAATATAAGTATAAAATGCGTATTGCAGTTATACTCAAGCTTTGCGTTTGCAATAAGGGAGGATACAGTTTGATAAAATTTGCTTTTTTAAATTTACAGTATTCTATAGTATTACACATCTACCATAACCATAATGTTCTACCACTTCACCTTAACAATAGAGAAAAATAAATTATCAACAATTCGCAAAATATCACAAATTATTAATGAAATGAAAAACATAAGCATAACTGTAAACAATCCTACTTTGACAGTTCTCATTGCGAATCATAGTTTTTGTTGCTGCTTGGTTCAAATTAGCTGTTATCATAAACTAGCTGTTACCCACGTGCTTCAACCCGTTTGACTTCATAAATTAGGTATTAATTGATTGGTTAAGTTAAGCTGAAATAAACAAAACAGAATACAGCAATACAAACAAAGAAGAACAGCTGAGATATTTTTTAACATTATAGGTATATGGAAAGTTCCCTTTGGGAAGCAATTACGACCTTAAAGGGCAATTTATGAAATAATGGATAATTTTGCGCAAGGTTTCTCGTCATGACGAACATTTTAAGTATATGGCTTATAGGGGTGTGACTTGTAGTTTTCTCAAAAGTTCATGGGTACTTTTGGCTATAGTGCTGCACCCTGTTGGTAAATCTTATAACTTTTTAATGCTTTTCCATATCATAGAACAAACTTTTTTAGTTGAAACAGCTGACTAAATTCTTTTTCCTACAGTTACGGTACCTAACAATGTACATGTTCTCTCACTGATTTGAGAAAGCAAAGTGGCCAATTCGCTCATCAGTGAGACAATGTTAACATTGTCTCACTCTAATTACTTTGTCTCACTCCAGATTTGCAACGTGAAGGCACGAAATAGTGAGCGCGTAACATGCAGGCAACGTCGTATGCGCGCGAAATACGTTGGCAGCACTGGCTGTAAATCAGCTGGTCAGCTGTTGTACTGTTGTATTTGTCACTTCACATTAAATGTTATATTAAAAGTTCACTTCTGTGCAAAAATAGGTTATGTTTCTTCACAAATTTATTTGTTTTATGGTAACTGTAGGAAAAGTATAATGTGCAACTCGAGTTCAATTTCAAAGTACAATTGCCTCACTCGAGAAACCATTCCTCACTCGCCTACGGCTCGTGAGTAAGGATTTCTCTCGAGTGAGTCAATTGCTCACTTTTCTCACTAGTTGCACAAATAACTATAATTCCCTTTAAATATGAATACTCATAAGGTTAACATGGGGAATTACAGAGCTACTGGGGCGGGGCCCGAAAGGATTTTTGAGATAAGAATATGCCTATATGTTAATCGGGAATGTAAGCTATCATCATGCCAAATTTCAGCCCAATCCGTCCAGTGGTTTATGCGTGATTGAACTTCAAACACACAAACAAACAAACAAACACATAAACTTTCACATTTATAATATTAGTAAGATATTCGCAAACGGTTCCGGGCAAAGAGTTAACACAGTTCCGGGGAGATTAGAATTAGAGCTATCGTCCTAGAATGTGATGGTAGGACATGATAAAACAACTACGTTACCAAATATTTTTCCAAAATTATTAAAAACAGAAATTAATATAATATAGGTAGCATAAGAATAAAATAAGAATAATGGACTGATTTGAGTAAGATGTGTCAACATAAATAAATATTTTGTAAAGCCTAAGTGGTTTGTTCAGCATTGATATACTGTACATACTTACAATATTGTTACAGCTATTCCAGGCGCCAAGCTGGAACAAAGAAAAACTAGTTTAGTACATAAACATTCACCGAATGAACAATACGTAATAACTAAGTCCGTCCATATTAGATCAGGCTGCACAGGTTTAAGCTGTAATGTCCACTTTGGGAAATCGACTGATAGGCTACTGCATTTTGATGGGAGTGTAGGCCGTGTAGTAGCAGTTGCGCCGAGTAGCATTTGCGCCGCGGATTAAATCGTGCTTCCAGCGCCGCGGAGTTTGATTAGTTCAATGATGCAGAAGTGACGAGGGTCATAATTACTTACACATTACTTGACCGAGTTGCTTGTAAATAGTGTCGTTTTCCATACTCCTAATTAACTTGTAATAGTTGTGCACTGTTGCACAAAAAAATGATGAAACACTTGTATACCACCACATGCAGTATTGAGTTAGTATAGATATTTTTCCTGAGCTATAATTATTATGACCATTAGATATTTTCTACTTATCACATTACTAATTTAGGAGAAAGGGGGACTTTTGTTTTCCTATGACATTTTTAGAAAATAGTTGCACCAGGATAGTCTGCGGTGCTATGTGGAATGCAAACAGCTCGTCATATTGGTATTAGGGGGATTTGCTAGGGGTATATATCCCCATACCTTTCGTAGTAACCCACTCCCTTATGTTACCTTTGGTCACTCAATGGTGTTGTCATTATCAGTTTTGAGTAGAATTTAGCAGAATGAACATCGTAGAATCCACAAAGAAGGGCTCAATTTTCAATCATTTCGTCTACTACAATTCTGTAGCCTACATTATATCATGATAACACTTAACTAAACAGACAATACCCCCGCCGCAGCAAACCTGCCAACTAAGTGAATTTCCATTTGTCTGAATTGATTTTCAATTGAATGTATGTAAATAAAATTAGGTTTAACGAGTACCTAGGTTAGCTGCTACAATGAAACTATTAAAGTGGAGTTTTAGTAAAATATAAATAGCTTAGTATAAAATAAATAAATTTGAAAGTTTGATCAAAATATATCCATAAACAAGCAAACTAAAATTACTCAAGTTATCGCGTTCACGGACGTATATAAATCTATACAAAATGGAAAAGTAAATTCGTCACGGGCCTAGGTCTTACGGTGCCACATACGGTAATAGCTACTTCCCTATAGGGACATTATGGTACAGAAGACGTTAGTATCGTTAATTTATTTATATTATACCTATATGTGTAGGTAAATAACAACAAACAGGTTTCATTCCGATATTGGTGGTTCGTAAACTTAATCAAGGTGATTCAACCTTACACATTCATGCCAAATTTAATCAAAATCGTACGAGAAGCGATAAGCATAGGCCGGGAGCACGCCCGAGTTCACGTGCAAACCTCGCACTGTCAAGTTGATGATTTTAAAAATATTCGTGGGAATGGATGGTGATTTGTAATGTTTATTGAGTTGTATAATAGTATTGAACATTTGCATGGGCTTGTATAGGCCGAAAGCAGGGTCATTAGAAAATGGCTAAAAAACTCACCCATGTTATTCTTATGGAGAAAAAGTGCCTAAAGTGAGGTCATATTACTATATTATACCTACGGTACTTTACATTTAATGGGTCAGTAAATGAAAGAATTAGCTTTTTCGCTTGATTCCGAATATAGTATATGAGGATTATATGTAGGGATATGCAGGCAAATATCAGGATTTTTGGAATTAGTGGCTAGAAAATTATCTCCATGTTATTCTTATGGGAAAAAACGCCTAAAGTGAGGTATCTTTGTGGTAATTGCCACTACACGTTTTAGAGAGTTATTTTGTAAACGTAATATGTACTTGTATTTCTAGACTTAAGATAAACTTAAATTGATATAAGGCCTGTCTCAACTCCCAGGCTTCACGAACCGTGATGTATACAGTACTGCCAAACCTGGTACAGAAACAAACTAATTTTTTATCGTAATTTCCTCTCTTTTGAGTTATTGGTAATTAATTGGTTTTATGTAGCCTTTATACTGAAACGGCGGAGTTTACTGTGTATTGTTGTCAACCAGTGAACAATATTTGCAGATATTTTTGGTGGCATCAATTTTGCAGTTATTAGATTTAAAGTTATGTATGTGTAACCATTAGCACGGGTCACGAGGTGACTGCATGCAACCACTTTACGCTGAATGTAAAATGTGGTAGGAACTACGTCCTCAATAATCATATTAGTGCAGTTGATTGGTTCCGCCTTTGTTAACCTGTCAAAACTGCTAACCCTCATTTAATTAGCTGGCGCGGCGCTGGTGCTACGCGGCGCAAATACTACTCGGCGCAAATACTACTCAACCGTGTAGGCACATGACCCAGGCTCTAATCTTAATCACGGTCGGTTGACCTGTCAGTTCTATGTGGTTCTAGGTTGGTGTCGAACGCTTCCGCATCATACCGTGCATAGCCGAACTGTTCGCGGCAAATTGTTAGCTCTATCACCGTCGCTGTCAAAACGTATCGTTTGTAGATTAAATTTAAATTTAATTTAACTGTCATAACCTAACCAAACTTGCTGATAATGAAAAATCGAATGAAGGTTTACTAATAAAAAACATAGTTCTGTTCATAAAGTAAAATTACAAATGCCTAAAATTCATTTTATAATATTTTAATTATAAAATTACCATCTTAACCTAACCAAACCAACCGAACTTGCTAATAATGAAAAAATCGAATAAAGGTTTACTAATCGAAAAATAGTTCAGACCATAAAATTATAAATTCTAACAAAAGGTGTACAGTTAAGAAGTAATCGCATTCTAAGCTAAATCTTTGACAAAAAGTTAACGCCTCCGGTGGGATTCAGAATTCTCGATTCCCCACCCCTCCTCCGGTGACCACTGTCAGGCCATAAATCAGGGGATTAACCCAAACAAAGATCTGGGCCGCTGTCCGTCTCCCTTTTGATAGGGTAACAGATAATTCCCAGGACTAATCTAATGTTTAAAGGATAGCCAGATATTGGCTAAAAGAAACTTGGCAACTTGATTTTAAAATGTTTACAAATCATAGTATTACAAATTATCATCCACGTTCCTGAAAAAAACTACAATTAAAATAGTAACCTACAAACGATCATTATATTTAACCGAAAGCTACCATTACGATCGACAGCTGATTTATTCCCGTTCAAATTCTTTCCCATGGCGATTTCTCTAATTAATACCTACCTAGGATCTGGTCAAAACTAAAAATGCTTGAGTTTTAACACGCAGACTTACAACATGCAACAGCTGATTATTTTGGGTCACCTACACTCAAGTGTGAGAACTACAGATCCACAGATGGTCAGAGGAACGGCGAATCGCGAGTCTGGGTAAGTATAGGTTCGGACAGGAACGAAGGATTTGGTATGAGGAGGAATGTTCAGGACAAAATTACGCTTTAAGTGACAATTTAGCGATCTCGCAAATCCTTGGACACGACGAGGAAACTGACTCTAGTAACCGGATATGGAGTTTTGGTTTCTCTACTGCTAATTCTTTCGTGTTATTTTGTTGTAAAAAACACATTGCTGTCAGACAATTATGTCAGCTCAGGTTACGAAGTTAAAACATTATATGAATGTGTGTGTGTGTCTTTGTGCATTCCTATGCGATGTAATTTAAGATGCAGTAATTTAAGCCAAATACCTTAAATTATTTAGTAATTACTAAATAATTTAAGGTATTTGGCTACTTCACTGTAGGACAAAACCAGCCAAGAATAAAGTTGTACCTACAGCTTGTATCTTCACCGTATACCACATCGTAATTTGTTAATGTGTATAAGTTAAGAATGAATCTCAATATCGAATGTAAAAAGCTGTATTTAATATATTTCAAAAAGGTTTGAGATTGATCCTCATGCTGTATTTTGTTAGTCACATGTTATCTTTATTAATATAGCTGGGTAACACTATGAATCCGTACAAGAGCATTCCACAATCACACGGTAGGGGTTTAGTGTATACTTAGTGGTAAGGTTTTTAATAGAATGAATTTTTAATTAAACAAAATACAGCTTATCCTACTAATATTATAAATGAGAAAGTTTGGATGTATGAATGTATGTATGTATGTTTGTGACAAGTAAACGCGAAAAATACTGGTCTGATCGGGCTGAAATTTGGTGTGATTATAGCTCACTTTCCCGATTAACATATAGACGCATTTTTATATCAAAAGTCCTATCGGGCTCCGCTCCAGTGGCTCTGGAGTTTCCCATGTTAACCTTATGAGTAATCATATTTAAAAGGAACAAAAGAATTTTGTCAGCTGTTTCAACTACACAAGTTGGTTCTATGATATTAAAAAGATATAAGGTTTACCAACAGAATGCAGTACTATATTTTTTTACATTTCGTGTCCTCTTCCCGTTGCAAAGCAAAGGTACAACTAACAGCTAGTATATATATATTTATATAACCATATGTGATTGGAGAGATTCTAACCCAACCCCCGAGTACAGGAGCTCTACGATCCAACCATTAGTCCAGTCTCCAAGCATTCGAGATAATTAAGACGTAATACAACTACTAATTAATGTGCGAACGCAAAAACCACGGTATACCAGGAAATTCTTTCCGAGCACAAAATGCGTGAAGATCTGCGAGGAAGAGTGTGAGAAGATAGAGAAGCGAAGTTCATTGTCAGGATTAAAGTGAAAGCAGAAGATCATGCTTTCCTAGCACACCCTGGGAAGGTAATTAGTAAGGTTGGAACAGGTGATTAGCTGTAAAAATCAGCTGGATACAAGGTCAATGCGCCGAACGCCGAGCCAATCATTATGATTGCTGGGAGCCCGGTGCTGCAATTATGATAGTAAATGGATGTAAGCCCACAGTTATCTGTGTTGGTTTAGAAACTTCTGTCATTTGGTAGGGAACATAGAAATTGAATCTTGTTAGTGACGAAAGATGTATAATTCATGTCATTTATTTTTCGATAGGAATCGAACGAATCATGTTTGGAGGAAATGTATCATTACGATTTAGCTCAAATTGGATGCAAA